ATGGTGGTGGTGATGGTGGTGGTGATGGTGATGATGGTGGTGGTGGTGGTGATGGTGATGGTGATGGTGGTGGTGGTGGTAGTGGTGATGATGGTGGTGGTGGTGATGGTGATGGTGGTGGTGGTGGTGGTGATGGTGATGGTGGTGATGGTGGTGGTGATGGTGGTGATGGTGGTGGTGGTGGTGGTGGTAGTGGTGATGATGGTGGTGGTGGTGGTGATGGTGGTGGTGGTGGTGATGGTGGTGGTGGTGGTGGTGGTAGTGGTGATGATGGTGGTGGTGACGGTGATGGTGGTGGTGGTGGTGGTGGTAGTGGTGATGATGGTGGTGGTGGTGGTGGTGATGGTGATGGTGGTGGTGGTGGTGGTGATGGTGGTGATGGTGATGGTGGTGATGGTGGTGGTGATGGTGGTGATGGTGGTGGTGGTGGTGGTGGTAGTGGTGATGATGGTGGTGGTGGTGGTGATGGTGATGGTGGTGGTGGTGGTAGTGGTGATGATGGTGGTGGTGGTGATGGTGATGGTGATGGTGGTGGTGGTGGTGGTGGTGATGGTGGTGATGGTGATGGTGGTGATGGTGGTGGTGATGGTGGTGATGGTGGTGGTGGTGGTGGTGGTAGTGGTGATGATGGTGGTGGTGGTGGTGATGGTGGTGGTGGTGGTGGTGATGGTGGTGGTGGTGGTGGTGGTAGTGGTGATGATGGTGGTGGTGACGGTGATGGTGGTGGTGGTGGTAGTGGTGATGATGGTGGTGGTGATGGTGGTGGTGGTGGTAGTGGTGATGATGGTGGTGGTGGTGATGGTGATGGTGGTGGTGGTGGTAGTGGTGATGATGGTGGTGGTGGTGGTGGTGGTGGTGGTGGTAGTGGTGATGATGGTGGTGGTGGTGATGGTGGTGGTGATGGTGATGGTGGTGGTGGTGGTAGTGGTGATGATGGTGGTGGTGGTGGTGGTGGTGGTGGTGGTAGTGGTGATGATGGTGGTGGTGGTGATGGTGATGGTGGTGGTGGTGGTAGTGGTGATGATGGTGGTGGTGGTGGTGGTGGTAGTGGTGATGATGGTGGTGGTGGTGATGGTGGTGGTGATGGTGGTGATGGTGGTGGGGTTTGGGGGGCAGAAGGTTTCAAAGTGTCTGTCAGCATTCATTCTGTGGGAACGTTGGGTCCCCAAATCCAAGACTAGCTTTACTACTGCTGCTAATTATTAAGACTGTCTTCTGCTTTTCATGTTACATTCAGCTTGTAGCTTTCTAAGCACATTTTGATGCTTGAATTTAACTGATGTTCTTTCTGTAGAACTTCACAACAATTAACCCACAGGTACCAATAAAGACGCTAACCTAACCTGTTAAAATGACTGTCAGAGGAAACAAGAGTGAGAATGTTTCAACAACGCAATTACTGAGTCAAACTTTACAAGTTATGAAGATAAAATAGTGGTGAAGCTTTTGCTGATTTTAATGGTTCAAAACATCAGCTGTTAAGCAATTAGTTATCAGCATGACGACATTTAAAAGTTAAATCATCAGAGGAAAATAAGCCCAAAGAGAAATGCACGAGTGTGTAAGTAGCAGCAGATCTGTTATGGATGTGTTTTAGCCAACCTTTGCTTCCTACACCTTAAAAAAAACTCCCAAGCTATATTGATGGAAGCAGGTCAATAGAAACCCTTGAGTGTGATGCTACACGTAACATCAATCCACCACAAATCATTGATCTGATGGCAGGTTGCTGATTGATTACCAATTAAACCAACCTTAATGATGCATAATATCTTATTTTGGGTCACCCATTGTGTGTTATTGATAACAAAAGCAAGGACCATGTGCCCTTTTTGACCTATGATCTCTGAACTCTGACTTTATTTTATACTCTGTGACCCCTAAAGCCAAAGGTCAATTTGTTGTCTTGGTGTGGATCAATGCTGAACACTCTAAAGCTCTAAAAACGAATTAATCTTTGCATAAGTAAAACCTCCAAAGTTAGATGAAATAAAGTATTCCACAATATGGGGGGTTAGGGGCTGAAGAGGCTAATAATGTGATCTATGCTTTCATTCAACCCACATTTATTTTCCAAAGACGATCAATCAATGTGTCAGGCTGAATTTAGTTTACAACAACAATAAGAGGCTGTGCATCCCAGGGCAGCTCTGAACTAAAAACACAATATATACAGCTACAACCCTCTACTTTATTTCTTATTGAAGAAAGCCACTGATCCGTGGCAGACCAAAAGAGTATTTTGTACAGATTACATTGGTAATGCAATAGTGAAACACCATAATAAAACCAGTCACGGTTCACCCTCCTCATTAAAACTCTGGGGTGTTTGAGATCCTCACAGAGGCAACTAAAGACGGTGACCTTTAAAGGAAACTTGCTCAAAGTGAGACGGATACGAAAACTTAACACAGGGAATGGATTTAATGATTACTTTTGTCTGAAATGTTTTCAGATTGTGTGTGTGTGTGTGTGTGTGTGTGTGTGTGTGTGTGTGTGTGTGTGTGTGTGTGTGTGTGTGTGTGTGTGTGTGTGTGTGTGTGATGGTGTCAGGGTTGGTGTATTCTAAATGAAAGGAGGGGATACAGTAAGCTCACAGAGCTGAGGAAACACCTCATATGAATTTAACTAAAACTTTAACTCACAAAGGGAACTGGAGAAAAGGGTGCCAGACTTCATCAACAGTAATTTACTGACAGCACAACTGAGGGTGATGATTTTTAGGAAAAAAAATTAGGAAAATTAGCCTAAATTAGTTTAAAAGAGCAGGAAACTCATTTGACCCCACCCCAGCCAAAAAAATGAAATAATAATAATAATAATAATAATAATAATAATAATAATAATAAAAACTGAGAACAGGCTCAAAAAAAGGAACGAGAAAACCATAAACAAAAAATCAAGGTAAGCTTTTAAAGTGTGGTGAATAAACCTTAAACGTAAAATAAAAATTAGACCAAAAAAGTCACACAAAACCAAACATTTAAAGTTCATCCAAGCCAGTAGAGTTTAAAAAAGAAAAAAAACACATCTAGCTATTAAAGTTTAGCTGACTCTCATCAATGGAAACAAAATTACAAAATTCAAATAAAAAAGAAGAAATTTTAATAAATATGTTGACAAATTTCCTTAAAAATTTGGGGAAAAAAAATCCTAATTCAATTGTTTCTCTGCTCCAACTCATCAAACTGAGGTTAACGGCTGAATAACAAACTTCTGCAGAATACGAGGACCGGAGGTCATCCTACCACTGGATCAGGTGTGTTTGTCCAAGGAAACAACTAAAAGATATATGATGAAGGCATTAGAGAATCGGGCTAAAACACCACATCTGAAGGGCATGGTTTTCCTGAAACAGTGATGTAGTAGCTGGGATAGGTTTTCACAGAAGGGATGCATCAATTAAAGGCATACTCTGCAACTGTTCTTATTTTTGAAACATTTCCTTGAGCCGGTATATGCTAAAATGACCCTTTAAAGGGTTAACGAGAAGTCGCTCACACCCCCACTGCCCCTTGTGACCAGAAATGCGCACTTGCAACTTCAGACTAGCGGGCCGCCACCTGTTGGACTTGAGCTGACATGCCTGGCACTGCAGTCTGGTTCCAGCCTGCATTTCCCTGCATGTTTTAGATCATGAACACAGCTGATTTGTTTATTGAGTGATGAATCACTCCTGTAGACACTCATTAATGCTGGGGAGACATTTCAACTGTTAGATTAAAAAGATAAATACACCAGCAAGGAGATGCGTGTTACTTTGTTTTTACTAATGGACACCAGAGGGGCTAAAAGCAAGCCGAAACTGCCAAGTGTGCCTTCAGTCATCTATTTTAAGGACTTGGCAGATTTTAAGCTTGACTAGTTTTCATATCAGATATGTTTGGCTCATAATATACCTGTTTTTTTTGCGCATCAGAGCACCTGAAGGCTGTGCCTCACACTGGTCAACACATTTCCATTCACACAAGCAAAGTATTTTGTCTTTTTAGACAAAATGAAGACATATAACGATTATTTGTACCTGACTTAACCTCCTGAGACCCAAACTTGTATTTGGCGTGATTTAAAAGAAAAAAGCATATCTAGCTATTACAGGTAAGCTGACTCTCATCAGTGGCAACAAAATTACAAAAATTTAAACAAAAAAGAAGAAATTTTAATAAATATGTTGACAAATTTCCTTAAAAATTTGGGAAAATAAAAAAAAATTCTAATTCAAAGTCAAGGTCAAGTGTCTTTAAAAGGGTCTAAGAGGAAGAGAATGTGATTTCATAGTGCAAGGAGACAATGTCCACATATGTGGACACAGGGCCCTAGGAGGATAAGAACATAACACAAGCTGATGTGTTCAGGCGTCAACAAAATCAAAAGGTTTCTTCGTCCCGTTTGTAGCAGAGTGTGCAGCCTGCTGATACCACACTTTAATCAGCTACTCCACCCCTCACTGAGCTCAGAGCGGCTTTGTGTCCTTGCATGTCTGTTTTACCCACACACACACATACACACACACGCGTGCGCGCGCCGTCATACACCTAAATCACTGCGGCATCATTTTCTGACAGCCACACTCTCCCATCACGCAGCTGAATGAAAAGATGAGCTGCCTGCAGCTGGCGGGGCAGGAAGGTGAAAACACAGACACTCGTGCAGAAATAATCACACACGCTGTTGAGCATATACTCCTTCAACAGCCTCCGTCACAAACGGCTGACTTGCAGCATATGGATATTCCCTCTTCACTTTCAATTGGGGGAGCTCGATCCAAACAGTGCCGGACCTATCAGTGGAGCTCTGAGATTGGATCCACAGTCCCAAACACAGACTGCAACAAATCCCGCAGAGAGAGGCCGGCATGTTCCGCATGAATTCAAAGCATGCTAGAGTACAGCTGTTAAACGTAGAGCCGCACATGCCTGTCTTTAAATCCCCACAGCATGTGTCTACAGCTGCTGACCTGCTAGGTCTCTGCACTCACACCTAGCCTGGGAGGAACTCACCAATCTCACAGTTCTCTCCAGAGAAACCCTGAGGACAATAGCAGCTATAGCCATCACCTTCCTGCAGGCAGCTCCCACCGTGGAGACAGGGGCTGGTCTGGCATGGGTTAGTCTCCACTGCAAAGAAAGAGTAAGAAAGAGGGAAGGGAGATTAACTTAAGGTGGCATTTATTTCATGAAGACAATTATAAATGTGGAACAAGTCCTATCATTATCCTGACAGCTCATCCCTGCTGTCCTATAGAGATGGAGGACTAGAAAAACTTGTCCTTGCCTTTGTGACTTCCTATGGTGATGAATTTGTTGTTGTATCTCTCATGTCCTCGTAGTAAATAGCAGCATTCTAGAAGGACAATCATTGCCCTCCCCGCTGCAGCACTATAGCTGCAACTACTTCTGGTTCACATAAATTAGCAGATTACCACCCAGTCATCCATACTGGTGCAGGAGTTCCCATCCTGGTTTACGGCCTTGTAGCAAACGCAACCTACACATTTTAAGTTTGTGGGTTATGACTCAACGTCCTTTCATGGGAAAAGTTTCGGTAGATAAATGGGGAGATTGAGAGGATTAAGTTGTAATTACTGCTCTTAAATTTTAAGATGGAACTGAGAGAGGAGGAAACTTTGACAAGGACGGTTAGAGCACAATGCCATAATCAGATTTTTTTTAAATTCTGCACGCAAAGACTGACCATTGGGAACTGGGTAGATTAAGTGTCTTTTTATTACCCAATCCTGATAGGATTGCAGGGCCCTGACACAATCTGTTAGGCCATCTAATGCACTCCATCTTCTCCATAATAACGTCCAGTCTCACTTAATGATGCAGAGCTATGCTGTGCAGAACTCATCCACCTCCTTTAAAGTCTGGTAATACACTTGTGTGTTTATTTATGCATGCAGATGCGTCTAAACACACACGCTTTTCTGATCCTGATGCACTGCATGCAGTGAAGTCTGACAATGCATTCCTGAACTTTACAAAATTATTTACTGAAGCTTTGCACGCCATGCGGTTTCTGTAGGTTTATACTTCCTGCACACGTTTAAAGGAGTCAGTATCAAACACCCATAAGGGTAACGATTGACCTTGCAGTAAACATGATTCAGCTTCTCAAAGTTAAACTTTCCTGCAGAAGAGCTGGTAATGATGCACTGACCAGTAAGAGATGATAGGAAAATTGTCTTTGAAAATACATAAAAGAGATCTGCTTATTACAGGTTTTTTCGATTGCTAAAACTCAAAAAGCAAAAATGAGGCATACTTTTCACAACCTCTACTTCTGTTCCCAATCGCTTGACTCAATTTATCACTACTTAAGATTTTCTTATCATATTAGAACTTTGATTTTCCTCCTTTACACTCTGATGTCAATTTCACATTACCTTGCTGTCAAAACACAGCACACAATTTTCAGGTTTACACACACTTCTCACATAAATTCTCAAAGCTTCAATCAACAACACACAAATATTCAAATCTCTAAACTTTCGGGTCTGGCGAGCAATTTGCAATCAGGGACTGCAGCATAAAAGTAAGTTTCCACAAGGCTACCCAGGTGTATGTGTGGTTTCAGGACCACCCACGGTTTTCCATTTTATACCTTCCACCTTATTCCCCCTTCCTCAATCCCACTGAGGAGTTTTTCTCAGCCTGGAGGTGGAAGGTGTACGAAAGGAATCCACAGAGCCAGGTCCCACTGCTTCAAGCCATGGAGGAGGCTTGTAGAGATGTGGCCTTTGAGGCCTGTCAGGGCTTCATGAGGCACTCGAGGCGGTACTTCCAGCGCTGTTTGGACCAGGAGGACATCGCCTTTGATGTTGATGAGGCCCTCTGGCCAGACAGAGACCGGAGGCATGATGCCCCATGATTATGCTTGGATGGGGGGGGGGGGGGGGGGGGGGGGGGGGGGGGTATTAAACGTAAAAATAAAATGTTTTGTCTCAAAATTTGTGTGATGTCTAATGTTTGCCTCAGAGAAAAGTAGGCACTGTCATACATTCAGTGTGTAAAGCTTGGTTTATGCTTGACACATTCACTTTCCGCTTGGTGATGCGGCTCGCGGATGGAAAGCGCTTCACAACTCGCAGTGTTTATGGTTCGTGCGGCTCGTCTCTGCGGTGAGCCAATATTCTCCCAAACTGAACGGGGCAGCATGGAGGTCTACGGCATGCATCCAACACTACACCATAGTAGAAGTAGAAATTACTGTTTACAACATGGCATTTCAGCATTTTTAACAGCGTCCTCGTCTTTTCCGACAGTGCGAGCTATTTCTCTCCAAGAATTACTAACAACATGTTGGTCACGGTGATCTCTGAGAGCTGAATCATACAAATGTCTGTATTTACGAACCTCTGCCATACTAGTTCTTGCCGCTCCGCCATGTTTTTCCACGTCCAGCCGTCCGCGTGGCTAGAAATTTTCCTAGGTGCGCGTTGCGGAAATTTTGGGCCGTGCGGAGACGCGGTGGAGGGGCGTGGTTGTTAAAATGACGCAATTTCGCCGCGCGGACCTCACGGACGCGTCAAGCATAAACCAACCTTAATTCATTGTGTTCCATTTCGACAATTGTGTTTTCAGTTTTGCTCTTCAGTGTTCTTTCCATGCTTGGTAGTGTTCACCCAAAGGCTACTTGTGTTTAAGCAATGGATGGTGTGTGTGCGTCATGTGAAAATGTGGCTGTGTTTACCAAATGAAAACACGTGTTCCATTTTGGGAACATGTTACGATATGTGATGGCAGGGTTTTGTTGCAAAGGGAAGCCACGGTTTAGGAATTTGTGTGTTATGTTTGGGGTTTTGAAACGTACAGTTTTGAAAAACGTGTTTTAGCAATCGAAAAAAACTGTAATTCAGGAGCGAAAAGGGAAGAACTGTACGTGCTTTGAAAACACACATGGTTCTAAGGTTAATGATGTGTGGTGGAAAAGTTATAAAAAGCATGCAGGATTTGAGAGTCTGGTTTGAACTAAAAGATGTCAAGTAATTGGACACAAGAAACAGTGAGGACTGAAGGAAACTATCTATTTGAGTTTATATCCATTCATGTGTCCCTAATGAGGGAAAGCAAAGTGGTCATCATTTACATTTTTAGTTCTTTTGAAAGTATGTTCTTTCACGTGTCAATCATCCAACCGAAGACAAAAAAAAACCGTTGTTTTAATCAGGTGCTGAGTATTCTTGTCAGGTAAACACAGTAACAGGTTCATTTTGTACTCTTTTCTGTTGAGCTCTGGCTGATGAGAAGGTCAGATCACAAAAAAAGCAGAGGACCGCCTCGTTGCCTGAAGTATGCACCTCATTTACATTCCCTGCACGGTTTACCCTGACAGTAACGTCCTTTAATTATCTTGTCAAACAGAAGCTAAAAAACTACACTTGTTATAAAAGTGCAGAGTTTTGTTCCTAGATGAAGCAGAATATTCACTTAAAGTGTTTTACAGAAAATGTTTTCATTAGTGATCAGCATTCTAACTGTGGAGTTAATTTGTTTCTAATAATACAATCATACTATTATGATTACCATTGTTCCTGACAGTGAACTTTTGTTTAGACTCAAATGGCTCCAAGTGAAGGTGATGGCTTATTCTAATTTCCAACACAACTACTTTCTTAAAGGAATAGTTCAAACGTTTGAAATTGGGTTTCCATGGAAGGGTTATGAATTTGCATCATTTAATTGCAGATAATTCTTTGAACAGAGTCTGCTTGGAAAAATAAAGCAAATTTGTGATTGGATTGATATGCTAACGGATGCTTCAAGTAGGGCCAAAGTGGACTGCTGCCATTCTGAAACAGCTCCAATCTTAATGATGTAACAGCAGTACATTTGAGCTTTATTTTTCTTTAACTCACTTTACTAGGTTTCAAAATTAAGATACTTTTTTTTTTACACAGACAGAACACATAGAATGTCCCTGGCACTGTATATAACACATATACAGTGTGCAGCAGTTCCCAAACTTATTTAGCCACACACCCCCTTCTATGTCCTGACCATGTCGACGCACCCCCCAGCTCCACACCAGGGCTGAGAAGAACAAAGTCTTAGTGATCTTCAGAAAACTCAAAACTCTTTGCATTCCCCCTTTCCATCGATGCATTGAAACAAAAAGCTTTGGCAGTAGAATGAACTCGACTAGAAACTGCAACTCACAGCAGGCAGGGTTTTGTTCCTTTGCATGCAGAGGTTCAGGTTCTTTGTGGGGCATCGGGCTGTGCACATTTAATTGTCTGTGAAAAAGTTAGCTTGAATGTTAAACAATAGATCATTTAACCCACGGCCATGTAGAACATTGTCATCTATACAGTCTGTGAGATTTCAGAAGAAAATTTGCATATTCTCTCACAATATTGTAACTAGTCACAACTAAGTGGCTTAAGATTAAAGTCAAAGCATTAATTTACCACCAAGCTACTCAAAATCAAAGCTCAAACGTGAGTTTTAGGACCCGACTGCCTTTGGTAAGCTAGGAGGAAAAAAAAACTCATAAAAAAAACAAACGAGTCAGTTTCTAATCCCCTCAACCCCAACATTTACATTTAAGTCAGACTTTTCTCATGCTTGTAAACAAACCCTTCTCAGCTGCACTTATCTTCCACGTTCTCCTCACATATCCTGTCAGAGATAATTTTGACATGTGAATATCTCTGCATGCAGCATTGGAAGTCACAGTTAGACAAATGTTTCTCCAGAGTGACAGACGTGTATCTGCTCTGGTGGAAGTTGCGGTGATGCACACAGTGCAGCTGACAGCTGAGCGTATGGCGTTTAAAGCGTGCCACAACCCGTGCACGCGCATTGGGTCCACAGCGCGCGTGTGAACGGGACTCGCGAGCGGAAATATACATGGCGAGAGGTCATTTGTGCACTGAGAGGGAGCAAACTGTGTCTGTGAGCGCACAAGGATGTGCACAAGTGACAAACCTGCGTGCGCGCGTTGTCAACGAGCACACGGCAGAGGAAAACGTGCGCGCGCGGCAGCCTCTGTGCGCGCTCGGCAGCCTCTCTGCGCGCTCGGTTTCTGACTCCTGCTCGCTCGGCTGTAAGGGTTTTGGCACTCTGGAGGCGTGGCCTGTGGCAGATCTCCTCTGTCCTCTGATTGGTTAGTG